TTTGTCAGAAACTATCAGTGGGAAAGTGATGTATTTATGGAGAATTTTATTAGCTTTGATTTGGCTCATCTCATAGAAATTGAATAGTGGCATGCATTGAACATTTTTGCTGTAAACGAGTGTAATTGCCCAGTAAAGAGATTAATTTTATTGTATCACTCATACGCCCTGCTGTACCACCGAAAACATATTATTGATCGCTGGCAAGTGTGAGGGCGATAATGCTATGCGGCAACGCACTGTGGTCCAATTTGCTCTGACAGGGTAATTTAATTATTATATTAAGAACTAAGGTAGATATCGGGATGCAATTTTGTACAAATTACGTTTGAATGACTAAAAACTTCAGGTCATAAAATTGGCAAGATCGAATAGCGACCACGCCTACCAACCATATAATTAAAAAATCTTTAAATTTTTCATCAATTTTTGGTATTTTTTAAGCGCTCGCGCATGGCATGAACTTAAAGATTATAATGCAAATTCATATTTGTTAGAAATTAATTAAATTATATTAAATCCAATACGATAATATGAGGTACACTGGCGGTCAAAAGTGAGTGTATGGTGATTTTTGTTAAATATTTGCAATATTTTTCAAGTTAAAAGTTTTAGTTATGACAAATCCCAGTGAACTCGATGGCGAGGTCTGATGAGGAGATGTGGTGATCTTCGAAATATCAGCTATAACTTTTACCAGTTGTTAATTATTGTTGTTTTCCAACACATTTTTTCATTGGAAAAAATTGTTGAATATAATTGTGAGCTTTTTAATCTGAACTTTTAGAAAAGTTATGGGTATGCAGGTACATCGGTTATGAAATTCAAGTAAAATAGCTCAAAGTTTTAAGCGCTCAAAAATCGCGTTGATTTTTAATTAATGTGTTTTTTTTTGGTTACGGCTTTTGCGGTTTTCTCATATAAAAAGTGCAATTTATAAAAACCAGTGTTGATTTTTAAGTGATAAGTGATAAGTGATGCCAAAAAAGTGCATCTTGTTCGATAACTTTCGAAAGCTCAAAAGCTCTCTTTATTTTAACTTTTTGGCAGCAACCCTCAAAATTTTTAGTTGGCCTACCAGCTGAAAATGGCGGTTTACCAAGCTTAGACCCAATTTCAGATGGCCTATTTAAGAATAAATAGATCGTTGATTATCTTCAGCAATTCATTTTCAGATCATACATTTAATCTGCACTTAAATATTGGCTATTTAAATATGATATATGCAACCCTGTGTTTATATCAAACAACAAAGATTGAAAGATAGGTTGTTTTGGCAATTTCTGATTCAGGCTTCGCGCATATGAATTCAATTTATCAAAGTTAATTCTATTACACTGTGAGACAAATGGTAGGGGTCAGTGATCGGGAAAGGTTCAAACTACCGGGGAAAGTTATATCGGTAAAAAAGAAGTTATACGTGTCCCGGCGTTTCGCTGGGTCACGTCTAGGAATCGAGATATATATATAACTATCATATAGGGGAAATTGTCACCTTTGGTGGTCTTTTTTTAACATAACTCGAGAATCACTAGTCCGATTTTGCTCAAACAAATTTAAAAAAATTAAAAATTACAATTTCTTTAATCTGTTCATATAACGTTTTTCTATATAATCAACAGTTTTGCCGGTAAAAATAAATGTATGAAGAAAAAAAATATTTTTTGCCTAAAATATTAAATTTTTTGACTGTCGCATAGTGTTATTAGATCTTGAACTGATATTACCAGAAACATAATCTACTTTTCCATTATTAGGAGTTGACAGCCAAAATATAAAAATTTCCCGTCTTGAAAATAGAAAATAAATGCACTAAAAGGTTAAAACTTTATCAGCTCCAAAACAAATCTGTGTGCATTTCCCGAATTTTCTTACTTAAGACAATGCCTGAGAAAGAAATGAAGTTAAAACAAAGTTTTTTTTAACAAGTTATTGAGCCTTAAAAATGTTCCGTTTTCGCTGCACGCACAATTTACTTTTTCACTTTTTGCTTACTATGATTTTTTGGACACCGTTATGTTTATATGTAGCCAAATTTTTTTAAACAAAGTTTTATTTACTCTTAAGTAGTTAACATTCTTGCATATTTGATAAAAACTTTATTGAAATTTTATAAACAAGAAATTTCATTAAAAAACTCTAGCTTTGCACATTGGACCACTGTGCAACGACGGCTCAATTGTCATTATCACACCAAACATAGGCTTAAGTTATTTTACATGTTTTTTTTTTTTAAATAGATTCATTTAACATTAGTTATTATTTCTCTGCCACGCGCTCTTACATAGAATCGTATTGCCGCTGGCTAGTTCATAATTTAATTTACCGAAATTATCTTTGAGTTAAAGCTTGTCTTAGTCTAACGAAACTATAAAAAGAGCAGTAGTAAACAGCTTGCCTGCAGGTTCTAACGACAAATCGCTGCGAGCAGCCCACTCCGGGAGTCAACCGGAAAAATACAAAAAAAATATAAAAACTTTACTTTGAAAGAAATGAGATTTATTCTTTAATTTGCATCTTTTTTGAACGTAAATTAAATAGAAAATCCTCTGCAC